AGTTACAATTCGCGATGGTAATATAAGGTCTGCTAAAGTTATATTACCCTCGAAAATAATAATTGGAAGACCATTAAATTTTCTATATCCTCTAGAAACAAGTGAAGACTTAGACGTTGAAAATCGTGAACTTTTGAAAAGCACTGATAGAAGGGAATCACAAGTTGTGCATCGACCATACAGAAAAGCTGCTAAAATCGCTAAACAAAGATTAAAAGGTATATCTAAAAGTGAAAATTCTAATTAAAATCTACATCACGGTATATCCTTTACAAATATTTAGACATTATGTATACCGGGGCAATACACGACGGTAGAATTACAGTTTAGAATTTTGTTAATTTTTACATGCATATTTCCCACGCTTTCTTCTACCGGAGCATATTATATTGTAAAATATATCACGATTTCTCCGTGCACTTTTCCCGCTCATTTTTATACCGGAGCAAGGTAAAGTGATAAACTACTCATGACTTTCTCGTGCAAAATAGAACGTGGTTTGAAATTGGTCATTTCATTCAGTTTTGTTGAAACGTAAAGATTTCAGTGTAATCTGTGTGACAAGTCTTATAAGTATAATCGTCATCTTAAAAGACATTAAGATGAGAAACACAGTTCGCAGCTGTTACATTATAAATGTGTAATGGATAAATGCAAAGCGAAGTTTATTCGCAGAGGATATATTTTTACCATCTTTACAAGTACATAAAATTGAAAAATATAAAGCAAGAACAATTGCAATTGAAGCCAAGAGAAGAGATAAAAGCGATGCTAGTTATTATTCTGAAGTCAGTGATGATGATACAATAATGGATTCATTAGCTGAAGAGGAAGAAATGGATTTTTAGAAATTGACATAATATGATATTTACGGACAAACGAGCCGTGATAATTATGAATGTGGAAATGGTGATATTGAAAATAAAATAACAGATTTAAGCTCTACAAACGATAAGAATAGTGTTGAAGAACCGGAAGAGATAGAGAATTATGTTGACTTTGATTCAAATGTTCAAACCAACGAAAGCAATGCAAACGACAAGATAGATTATGATGATAGTGTTTCTATTCCTGATGGTAATTGTTGTGCTGTGACACCATCTGATCATGATAACCAATACTTCAGTGACATATCTAATGATGAGTCAGATGATATCATTTTTACTGGCACGGGTATTGATTACAGTTATTAGAATTACAATTAGCCGTAAGTCATATAATTGATGAAGACATCCATTATGTGACAGATCATGCCGCTATATATTTCGAAAAGAAATATGCATACAGAGGGGACGTATTAATGCATTCGGAGGAATATTGTACTACAGATAGACGGGTTACAACTTCAAAGTGAAAGTAAACATTATTGCTATTTTATGAACATTCTGGCCGGAGTGTCGCTAATATCTAGCGATGTTCTACTGTTAAATTTAGTTTATCTCCTTTCATAACTTTGACGAGAATCTAACATGTTTATTTCATGTAACTCACTATAAGTTCTCATATTTCACGTGTTTTTATTGAGTATTTCTGCTTATGTAATATTATCTATAAAACCTTAACTCCGTCTTGCTCCTTATTTAATTTTGGTGGGAAAAATTCACATGTTCACAAATGTTCACGATTATCATGCTTTTCTTGTAATTATTAAGTTCTTTTGGCGCTAAAATTTGGCTACTATATATATTGATGTTATTGTGTTATAGCCAGTTGTAGTAAAAAAGAGTTGTTGCAAAAGTGGATGTGAAAAGGAATTACTAAAATTGTGAATGTTGGAGTTTTGCATTAAAGGAAATATTAAAAGTGATAAAAATGGATTTAAAGTGTTTGTATTAATTCAATGTAGTTCAAAGGTGTTGAAAATTCGCTACACCCCAACCAAAAGATACACTAGGGGGTTCCAGAAGGGGGATGTGTCCTGTTCTGTTTGGGGGGGGCGCTTTGAAGAGGGCGGCAGTCCCCCTCATCGCCAAGAAAATTTTGGACTTACGACAGGCTTAAAATGACCCCAGATCAATCATAAGGTAACGTGTAACTAACGCTAAAAAGCATTTGACTCTATGTGATTACATTAAGAAGATGCAGCACTTTGACATCAGTTTTGATGGAAAAAATCTTTTTTGTTATCAAGTATGTTAAGTACACAGACACTAGGGGTTTGGAGCTCAAAACGCCTTTAAAATCCAAATAAAATGCATATTTGTCAATCCCAGCACATGAACTGATTATATATATCAAAAAAACTTAATATAAGCCGTTTTGAAAAATATTCATATTTCAACATCTATAATAATACACAAGATAAAAATGTTCGCCGATAAAAAATCCGCACCTCCACGGTCATAATCACCATGTATTTTATTCCATTTCCAATATTTTCACATAATCCTTTGGTCCATCGACACAGAAGATATAATTCTTCACGATGATGGTCAATTTTAAACTTCAACGGTAATATTAACAACGCAACAGCCGAAATAAACATCAAGATTATCGCCGTTTCTCTCAATTGACAAAATCTTTCTTTGTCCCAGCTTTGCCGTGTGCAAAATGCGCAGCGCTTTTAACTTTGAGAACAAAAAAATCGGATGGCTTCGTTCATAGCCGACTGGAGATTGAGAGCTCCAAACCCCAAGTGTCTGTGGTTAAGTATATCTTATGATTTTTTCTAAAAATAATATTTAAATACATGAACATAACATTTAACCAAATATTATATTAACAAAAAAATGATTTTTTTTCAATTAGGCATATAAATAACAAGTATTGCGATTTCCGCTTTTTAAGTTTGTTAATAAATAGCTCTAAATATATTTAAATCTTAAGTTAAATTAATTTACCATTCATTACATACTATAAAAAATAAAATGTTATCGTTCAATCGCCTTTAATTACGACAATAATCAACACAAATATTTTTTATTCCGTTTCCCTATATATCTAATACTATCCCGCATCCCGGGCGTCCCGGATCCCGGGACCCCCCCCCCCCCCCTCCCTTAATACCGGAAAGGATAAAATGACCGGAAAAAAAGAAAAAAAAATGCACAGAACCAGATGTACACTTATGTTAATTAACCAAACGAAAACTTACTACAAAGAAAACATGTAAAATCGCGTAATCAAAAGTCAGTGTAAATATGATTAATTAAAACAAACATTTTAATCATCATTATATCTATGCGCTCAAGCAATACTTGCTGCTTTATAAAAATGGCGTGAAAACTGAAGGTTTTTTGACGCTATGTAAGATTAAATTTGATTGGCTAAATAAGTTTGGATTCCAGCCCTGACAGATAAATTTTGTAGAAAGCTGGAAGCCAAGCTTCGATTAAATTTTTGGATGGATTCGGAGTTTTAGGTAAATTCTCAGTAAAATCCTAAAGTAATACCGGCTCGCCGTGGCGAGCCGGCAAAATATAGAAATGGTACAATGTATTTGTTTTAAGTTTAAACTATACATGTATAAATAATGGAACTATCAATTAACGTCTCATCCCATTTCAGTAAAAAAATATATATTATAATACTCGTAATATAATTGTAATTGGTAGTTTTGTGAAAAGAATGTGTGCATGTATATTTTTGTTTTCAATGCGTGTCAATTGAGAATTAATTTACCTGTTTTTTAAAGCTATCTAACCGTATCTGTCATGGGTAAAAGGTGTTTACTTTTAAGCACATAAAAGGTGTAAGCGGCCGGACAGCTCAGTCGGTAGTGTCGCGATACGGTAATCTGAGGGTCACGAGTTCGGGTCCCTTTGACTGCCATATGGCCCAAAGTTTAATTCACATAGCTCTGTAACCCTTGGACATTCGAGTAAATATTTGCATAATTATAGCAGGGAAGATTTTACGGTTTAGAACTGTTCAATATTTAGGGGAATAAAGTGTAAGCGGCCGAATACCTCAGCGGGAAGAGCTGCGGAATTGTAAATGTACATGTATTCCGAGTGTCAGGGCTTCCCTGCCAGGCTGTTACATATCAATAAAAATATGTTAATAAGAAAAAGAAATATGAAAAATGGTAAGGAACTGTCTAAATTTAATATCACCCTAAATAGGATTCGGACAATCTGTGTAAAAATATCAGAAGATGAACTGGTAAAGGGGGGGGGGCGGACTAGTCTGATTAACATCATATTATGTCTGATGAACCTGATATCGGATATATTGGTACGCATATAGACACATGTTAGCTGAATGGAATATCAAACATTTTGCAATAAAATAGTGATTAAATTCTAAGCGTATGTAAAAAAGGGATTTAAACTAAACTTCGGCGTAAAGCACGACGAAATCCGGTATTCACCATGAGGTCACAAACTTTAATAAATGAAAATATCACAATTAATAATATTTCTCTATATAATATTTTTATTCTTCGAAAGAGACACTAAACATCTTTAAGAAACCCGAAATTCACAAAACAGATCTGTTCAAGATATTTTATAAGTTCTCAATAGTAACAGACACAAAACACGGTACTTAAAACGTTTAGACGAACGCAGACGCACGCTAAACGTTTCTTGGGATATCAAACGCACGCTTTCAAACGCACGATAAACGAGAAACGATACACGATAAACGTTAAAAACTTGTAAACGACGCACGCTTGAGAAAGCGTTTCATCAAACGCACGTTGCACGATATACGCACGCACGAAAAACGCACGCACGAAAAACGCTATTTAAGACAACCGAAACGTTCATCCTACTGTAATTGAAACTGATGAATATAAGTGTATTACAAATATTTAGTTTGGTAATAGATGCGTGAGACATACAACCTGAAATGAAATGGTTAAGACATTTTTTTTTCGAAACAACGTATGACGAATTAAGCAGGAAATACACATTTATTTCAAACAATTTTGTAAAACATATCAACTGATGACCTTCAAAACTCAAAGTCGATAAAATTTCTTCATTAGAAGTAAGTATATAAATAGCAGTTTTAATTGTAAGAATGGTTAGAATGCAAAAGCATGACATTATTACCTTCCAGTATACCCAAGCATACGACATATAACAGAGGCGTCTTTATTATCGAAAAGTGAGTCACACACAGTATACCAGTTGTTCTATAAAAGAATGGGATTAAAAATAAACATTGATACAGTAAACAAAAATGAGAAAAAATGACATCGCATAACACGAAAATTTGAATTTCGAAATATAGTATCGAGGTAAACAAAGACTTTAAACTTTAATGACTTGTCAATTTTTTATAGGATGAAGTGAAGAGACCTCCCATTCTTATAAGCACGATTATGTTAAGGAATTATTAACCATTCATACACGCTTCGCTTTCAGTACACAAAAAACTGATTTGTTACAGAGAAATAATTTAAGAATAAAGCGGACTAAACGCATATGGCGCCTTGCCGTTTGATCTTTGTTTCAAGAAAGTTATATATTACATATCGATGTTTTTTATTGAAGAAATAAACATACATAAATAAATATTTCAACTCTACCGGACTGTGAATCATCTCCATCGACCAGGCGTATTTTAGAAGCTGTAAAAAGTAAATTCATGCAGCGTTAATAATATAACCAATGTTAACTGACAATTTAAATTGATCATTTTATGTAAACAAGTATCAGTTAGTTATATTATAAAACACATGAGAAGCAAGATGGTCCTTGTATCGCTCACCAGATAATTAAGGCTTTAAATGACAAGAAACAATAGATATTGTTAGGTATGTTTAAATTTATAATCTTAAACTGATATCATAACGTAAATATCTGAAGCTGAATTAGTGCAAATGTAATCAAGGTTTATTTTCTTTTTTCTTTTTTTCATTGTTATTTTTGAAACTGACCAATGTTTGAGCTCACTAGAAATCGTCTTGAAAACTTTTCTGACAAATTTCCGTGAAATTTTGTCTGCAAATATTACATTTATAATATGTATAACAAGATAAGCTGGATTTTCACTCATATGCGAACTCGTTCTAGCAATTACTTGGCAATCATCAAGACAGAAATTGGCCGCAAGAGATTTAACTAGGTGTCGACAGAAGACGGACATTCAATGATTCTAAAAGCTCAGGTGAGCTAAAATTTTGATTTGCGGGAACACACAACTTAATTGTATGTAATCAAAGGGAGGTTAAGCTAGATTGAATCCTCTAATATGCATATATCAGGCTGTCCAGCGTCCTTTAAATTTTATAAAAAGTCCTATTTTTCCGTGTTTGTTAAAATTCCTAAAAGAAAATAAAAACTTCCAAGGGGATTCCTAAACATTTCCTATTTCTTAACTTTAATTCCTATTTTCTTATCTGTTATAATAAACATACTTATAACTTTGAAGACATTTTAATTATGTCTATATATACAGTTGAATTCGCATTAAACTTCCCACCCTTGTGCACTTCTAGTGAACTAGACAATATGACCAGAAAGGCCAGGGATGGTGGCGCCTACATAGTTTATTGGATACTTGCATACCAAGTGACAAGGGTCATCCATTGTTTAGCTGTTGTAAGAAAAAAAACTTGGGGGACATATGGCGTATTCATGAAAATCAATAAGTAAATTTTGAATCAGCAGTTTCAACATTTTAGTTGACATCATGTTAAAGCTTAAAATTACAATATTTTATTAAATATTGTTATTTTATTTTTATTAACCCGTATTTAACTGTAAGTATAAAAACATTACCCCTTAAAATCAAATTTATAGAATTAATAAGGTTAAATGTAAATATGCTTTCCCTGTAATTGATAATTAAATGCAGTGTTTTAAAGCTAATTCTTCTTTTAGGGCCCAGTTACACAGACGGTCGGTCCCCAATCGGTCATTTGATTTTAAATTTACTCGCTGTTATGATCGGTTGTCATGCGTGATTTTATTTCTGATTTTCTGTGTAAACGGCCATCGGTGATAGAAAGCAAACTCAAACGGGAATGGGTCGATGATTAAATGCTGAAATACTTTTGGTTTTTATCGTTTGTAAATCGGAGCTAAATCGGGCGTAACGCTGATTAATCGGTGTTTGATAGCTAGTCATCAGTGGTTAAACACTTTCCGTCAGATATGGCCGGTTATTCATATTTGATTATCTTTGTCCGATCGGCGATATCGGTGATTAAGATCTTGCATATCTCGTGATATAGGTTGCCGTCGGTTATTTTTAAAATATTTTCTCCGATCGAGAATTTTAAACGTGTTTAAAAATCCCAATCGGTAATTTTTCACCGATGAAACTTATCTTTTCCCAGTAGCAGTTGATAAGTGGAAAACAGGTGACCAATAGGTGATATCGGTGTTAAATACGTTGTCATCGGTTCACTCCATAATTTAAAAAATCCATAATAAAAAAACTACCGATCAATCACCGATGGCTCTGTGTAACTGGGGTGTTAAATACATGATCATGTATTTTAATATTTTTCTAGTGTACTAATTGGAAAAACAATGTGATAATTCTGGCCCAATTAATTTTGTTTGTAACAACATAAACTTTTTTACTAAGCTCATACAATCAAGGAATGACTGATATTTAAGTAAGTTAAAATATCATTTTTATAATACATAAATAAGAGGCAATTCCTCGTATTCAATATTGAAAAACAATAAATTGATTCTAAAACAATCCATATACTGTGACAATTCAGTATTCAACTGTGAAATATTTTCATTTTTTAAATATATAAATAGTTTAAATGTATAAATAGTTAAAATATTATCCATGAAATAAATAAATTTTATAACTTCACGAATTCAGTATTAAAAATTTATTACTTTTATAGAAGAGGAAAGTCTCAAGTCATGCTGTTTACTGATATTTTTCTGAAAGTGACTGTTTTCATTATACCGGTCCCTTGCTGATAAGAGGGTCTCAGGGTTAATAATAAGAATGCAGATTATAAGTATGTAATATATATTTGAAATTTCCTGGTTCTTCAAAATACATGTTGGACATAAATCGATATATGTCCTTTAATTTGTATAATTAATCAGATAATTCTTTAATGTATTTAAGGCTATTCACACTTTATCATTACCTATAACTAAAACAGCGATAAGATAAGATAAAAATAACTAATTGGTATAATTTGTTAACTAAAACAGCGATAAGTTAAGATAAAAATAACTAATTGGTATAATTTGTAACCCGCCCCTTCTTCCCCCCCCCCCCCCCCCCCAAAAAAAGGTAGACTGAAATAGCATTTCACAGCTTTATACATATATCATTTAACAATAGGATCATGATATTAAATATTACTTCATTTCGTTTATTTATCCACTTATCAACATAAAAGTTATAGCTATCTATACATTTATATATACTTATTATAGCAAAAAAGTATTAAAGCTGCACGCCTCCAGATGAGCGAAATATTTCAATAAAAACAAACCTGAGAAAAATGTACTAAGATTTTAGGAAAAGTGTAAAAATTTAAAGTTCTAGTAATAATTTACATGTTATGTGCGATTAATGACCGATTTTTCAGTATTTATAACTTTATTTCTACTGCGTTACTATTGCAGTAAGGGATATTTTTGCATATTTTGTCCTCTTTTAGTACTTAACGTGGGTTGTAAGTGCCATTGATACCGTGTAAATGGCTTCCTTTTGGTTATTTCACAGAATAATACTATTAAACACATTTTCAAAATGTTCATGAAAATTAGCATGAATCTGGAGGCGTGCCGCTTTAAAGTACCAAATCAGTAAAACTGATGAATTCAAAAAAATATTGTTTTAACATATTTTACAAAATCCAATATTCACAACTTCAAATTTATAATGAAAAACATTCATACAGATATCTATTTTTGTAAAAGTCTAATTGTTATTTATTTAAATAAAAGGTCACTGCTCAATACAATTGTACATAAAATAGGTTTAGTGCACTTTAAAGTGCACTTATGAAGTGCACTTCAAAGTGCATATTGAAGTGCACATTGAAGTGCAATCCAAGTGCACTTTGTGTAACTTTTAGTGTGAACTCAACTGTAGTTTTCAGCTCTTCTTATTCATAGTAGACAGTCAAAGGCAGTTGGTCAGTTAATCAATTTATTCAGGTTGGTTTTTGTTGTGACTGGATAACAAAAGATGTAATTTCTTAAGATCAATTTTGATTCATTTAAGCCATATTTCCCAATGAAGATAATCCAAGGAATAAGTAAAGGCTTTCACTGAAAGTGTATCATACACAATCATAGAACAGACGTATCTCTTTGTTACATTAAAATGAGTTGATATAATACATATCTGGTCTAACTCTATGTCTTGACTTTCATGAAGCTGGGGTTGCACTAGGCCTCACTGATTTGGCAAGTAATGAAAAGAAGAAGACATCACATTGAGGAAAACAGAAGAGCAAGATGGTGCTACATGAAAAGCAGAAAAGGCTGATGGAGGAATTTTCTAAAAGACTTAATTCAGCAACATCAACAAAGAAATAAGTCAGTCTGTCGATATCACACTTTACCTATAAAAATGTTTTTTGTGCTTTCTCGGTTTTTTTTACTTTCAACTATGTGAGCATATTCATTTTCAATTCACAATTTTTTTAAAATAATAGTTTGTATATATTATTTTACAGCAATACACTTTCTTGGTAAATGTTTTAACTCATGCTGAAACATTTGCAATAAGTTATTCTTTTGCATTTAAAGACTTCAGTTTTAGTCCTAAACTGTATAAGAATAAGGTGGTGAATGTGATTGCTTAAAGGGGATAAGATGATGTCATATACAGTTTAATTCTCATTCAGACATTGATGTTTATATGTGTATGACTGGTAAACATAACAGTCCCCTTTCTAGTGGGCTTTTTCAGCTAACTTAATATATATAATTTTCTTCTTTCAGTTAACTTAAACTATTTAATTCTGCTTCTTCCCAGGACAACAACACCTGATGACTATGGAACACTGGTAGACGGCTTTATTATAACTAAATTAGAGCATTATTTGTGAGTAACTTTTGTGCAACGGTTATCCAATATCATTTTCTTTTGGTGTCATAGTTTAGTTATAACATTTCAAACTTTAGCCCCAAGGATCGAAAATATAACATCTTTGATTAAGTGAACGGGGAGACTGACTGTCAAACATTGAATGTCCTACGTGTGATACAAAATAAAACATGTAAATTTTACTTAGTCAATGCAATAATTCTACAAATACTGATAAAATCCACAAGCAAAACCACAGGTGCTCAACTTCACATGCTGACCAAAATTCCTTTAAAGTTTTATGTCTATAGGTCAAATAATTTTTGAACTCAGCACGACACAAGTTGAAAATTGAAAATTTCAGGGGCCATAACTCTGACAAACAGTTTAAATATACAAACACACAGGTGCACAACTACACATGCTGACTAATATTCCTGTAAAGTGTCATGACTCTATGTCAAATATTTTTTTGAGCTACGTGCGACACAAAAGAAAATGGACGGACTGATGGCATTATGGTCAGAATAAAGCTCATACTCCATGTGATGTTTGCCCGGACGGATGGACAAGGGTAAATCTAAATTCCCCCACCCCTATAGTGTGGCAGAAAAAATGTAAGAATAATCAGGAAATATAATAGAAAATAGGTGGGTAACTACAAAATGTAATCGTCGAGGATAGTGTCAGGATTATATTTTCTCTATTGTATGCAGGTTTAAGTTGAAATTATCTATATGCATACCTTCACAGGTTAGTGCAACCTTGTCAGCCTGTAATCTATTAGTAGTCCAATTAGTCGTAACCCATGCTAGATGAAGTTCGCACTTGTCAAGAGAAGATTCTCTACCATCACATATAAAATTATTAATGAAAACTTTATCTGCACCACTTCCGAACTGGTTTGGTATTATTCTTGCAATGCCACTAATAATATATCAAAAGAAAGAAATATTTATTTTCAACTGGAATGTACATTTATATTTTTTGATAAAGGAACAGATGGAGATAAACCTTTTATCGGTGAAGTCTCTTTACATAATGGAACACGGCTTACATTCATATTTTTTTAAATTATGGAAACAAAGTGATCCCTCGGAAGCATTAATAACAACAACATTACAAGAGAATTGCAGACTCGGTTTGATTGAGTCTGTACATGAGATATAATAAATGTGTGCAACATCCCTCACGCCCTCTAGCGACGGCTTGAGCGGTACTCAATTCTTAGTGCTGGCATTAATTCATCTAGAACAAGTGTGTGAAGTTTCAATCAATTGCCTTTTTACGGAGCCCCTAAGATGGCATTTCCGACACTTTTTTCCAGACATTTAATTCGTTTTTACGAAACATTGATTCGAAACTACGAAGTATTAATTCGAAACTACGAAATATTAATTCGTTTTTACGGAATATCAATTCGTAATTATGAAATATTAATCCGTCTTTATGAAATATTAATTCGTTTTCACGAAATATAGATTGTTTTTCTAGGAAATATTAATTCGTTTTTACGAAATAATAATTCGTTTTTTTCGAAATTTAAATTCTTAATTACGAAATATTAATTCTTTTTTACGAAATCTTATTTAAGGTCATTGCATGACATTTATAATAATAATTATTATTATTATTATTATCATTATTATTATTATTATTATTATAATTATTATTATTATTATTATTATTATTATTATTACATTCCTTTATCTTATACATTAGTAAAACAAAAAGGGGGCTCCATGTTTTCACTAATCTAATCAATTTTAAAAAGTATATTTCCCTACAATTTATGTATTGACACCGTGCTATCATAAAACATAATATTTTATTTCTAAACTCAATAATATTGACAACACGTAACAGAAAAAAAATGTCCTTGTTTGGATTTGAAGCACAGGATCCCCAGTTTAACAAACATTTCGTAGCGCGTGTACCTTCACGGCTGTGGCGGCAACGCGATTATTTAAATTTATATACAATAGTGTAAAGTTATAAAACTCGGGGAGAAAAAAATCACTTTTTATATTGCATTTACATGCCTTATATTTAGTCAGGAACTAGGCCTTCTTTATAAGTGGTACCAAAATACTTTGAAACCCTAGAAAAAAATCAATTTGTTTTTACGAAATGTTATTTCGTATTATCAATTATTATTTCGTAATTACGAGATAACATTTTGTTTTTACGGATTAATATTTCGTAATTTCGTATTAATAAGTCGTAATTTTTATCTATATCTATACCAAAGTACATTTTATTGTCAATAATGTTTGGATCCACGTGATAGTAAAACATTTATATCACAGGGTGACATAATATTATGCATTGTTTCATAAAGAATATATGGCAATTTATATTATCGAGAAAAAAATGGTGACATTATACATTGTTTCATTATGAATATATGGCAATTTATATTATAGAGAAGAAAAAAGACATGAAATAGAACAAAATTGTTCGCGATTTTTTAAAATTAAGTTCAGAGAAAAAATGTGGGGAAAATGTCACCTTAGTGACACCTTTTGCAGAAAATTAAAGGCAAAACTGTGATAACGATGCTAACGGCAACTGAGTACATTTTTTTTTAAATTGATATTTTTTTTATCTTTTCTTCAATTATTATTATTATTTTATTTTTTTTTTTTGTTTCTTGCCTCACGTCTGGTCCAATATTAAATGTGAACATTGCTTTACATATTCCGGGCATTATCGTGTAATAATGTACTACAGTAAGAGCAAGACACCAATTTTCTGGGGTTTTTTTGCGTGAAATGTGATTCGTACCTCAAGAAAAAAGTGAAGAAAAAAACAATGTCATACCTCATGTAACTGTATATTCGATGTATATTGCTATAAAAGCATTGTGTCACACTACTCACACTACTTAATCTTTACATATTAATTAACTTTTGACCCTCGCATGCGTCGTGCAATAGATAGACATATTAAAATTACTCAGGCGTCGTTCTAAAACACATGTGTTATATTTCATTTTTTGTTGTTTTATTTCTCACACTTTCAATCGGTAAGTAAAAATTGTCTGCTTTACAAGGTCCTTTTGCGAATGTTAAGCGTATGTAAGAAATGTTCTTTCTCTTTTATATCATAAAAAAAACACGTTCACGTTCCCTGTCGTCATAATAACATTTCCAGGAAAACTATTACAAATGAACTACCTATGGATTTAACTTTTTCATCAATATCCCTTTTCCTGTGTCCACAAAAAGTATACCCAAGTCAATCTTGCTCTATTTTTATCCCCGACAGACATCAACTCGAGTGCGGGGACTTGTTCATGCACTCTAATTAACGCACTGTGCATGTATGGATGGATATACGATTGGATGGATATACGATTTAATTCTGACACAATTTCAATAGAAAGGTCTACAAGCTATGATACAATATATAAAACATTATTTTCATAGCCATGTGTACTTCACAGAAATGATCGTTACTAAAAGCCTTAGGGTTTCTTTATGTAGAGCTGATTAGACCTGACTACGTGATATTTTCCAAATATGGTACTTGTTTCATATATTGTTTGATTTTAATAACCTGACAATTGCATACTGATTATACAGACAGTGCACACAATATAATAATCTTTGATAGATTTTTAATAAGTTCCGTGAATGAACGCAGTAAGTAGTGACTGAATTATATTTACGACTATGAAATTTTACACTGAGCGTTATAAATCAAAAGGATAAATACGGGTTTATAATTTCTAAATGTTCTACTTGTTGTTAGATCGAAGCCGCGTCTTATTTCTGATATATATTTCAAAACATTATTAACACAATGATTGTTTTGTATGTTGTTTTCATTTAATATGTTTCGCACACATTTCGGCAAAGTCTTTTTTTAAAATAAAATGGTTTTTAAATTTGTCTTTTGACGTCTTATCTGTGATACGCAGGCTTCATAACCTCTGATCCCCTTTCAAAATTCCATTTTATTTAGTTCCGCCCATTGTTTTCTCGTTTAGGGCACACGCTTTTTGTTACTTGGGGACCATACGCCGCTTTTCATGGAATGGCACGGAAGTGTCACATTGAAGGTTCCATGATAACCGCCGTATGAACACATCTGCTGATGTTTCTAAATTCAAAATTTTACTATTTCATGTTTTAATGTTGAATTCTGCTTAAGCCGGTGCTAGGGGGCGTGGACGGTAATTTGCATTTTCCAGTACCGTCCATGAACAGGCTCAATCAAACCGAGCCTGCAACATTTTCAATTTTGCCGTGTTGGGCTTTCATTAGGGATTCTGTATTTATCTATCTTAAATGTAAAATTCTGCTTAAGCCTGTGCTAGGGGGGCGTGGACGGTAACTTGCACTTTCCAGTACCGTCCATGAACAGGCTCAATCAAACCGAGCCTTTCAATCGTGTAGTGTTTGGCTTTCTTTAGGGATTCTGTATTTCTCTATTTAATTAAAAATCAATATTTAAAGTTCACTCGGATAAAAATCAATAAATCTTGTTTTAATGCCACAAAATGCAATTCAGATCGGGACAAAACAGTGTTTCAAAGTTACCGCATATACGTGTAGACAATTTGGCAAGTACTATACCCGGCCATTTACTTTAAAGTATACTACAAAAACATAAAGATAAAGTATGTGTTCATACGATGACAAAATCGATAAAATTGTAATGAACAACAATTTTCGCAAGACTGCGCCATTTATCAACGTGCGTCGGCTTTGTGTGAAGCAATCACAGTATGGTAAAAACATTTACAAATGCTAATAAAAAGTATACCTGTTGTATAATCCAAGCATTCTACATGCAACAATTGCTTCATTCTCTCTAAAAGAACTTGCTTTAACCGGATACCATTGACCGTTTAATAAAATGTCTAGTCTACCTGTTCCGCTTGTACCTCCACTAAGCCGGAAGCCAACACTACCATTATTTCCCAAAATGTTCACTACAAAATATTCACGGTAAGGAATGACGTGACTTTAATTGTAACGCGTATTGTCAATATGACGGCCTAAACACCTGGTTTCATATGTGTTTTTTTCCAGGAAATTCTTAATGAAATTCCTTTTACTGACCTGTTGCAGCCTATGTGGAATAAAGAATTGTTTTCGCCTTTACCTCATTTTCCAACCTTGTGATTATAGTGTTAACAAACACTCAAAGATTCAAATGAAACTTTAAATGTGGACAGTTATTTTGCAGGTAGGATTTACGCAAAACTTGTTTTTAATATGCCTATATAAAAGACACCGGGTCATATGATAGTTTCTCCTTGGCGGGCGGCGTCCAATTTTATCTCATACACGCATGGAGGAACTTTAATGAAAGTTCATAGAAATGTTTACCACTATGAGAAGCTGCGAAGCGTGCATTGACCAGGTCTCTATGTCAAAGGTCAAGGTCACACTTAGAGGCCATTGAAAAACGCTTGTCCGGAGCGGAACTTCTACATGCACAGAGGGATTTCATGATATCATATCATGGCACATATCATAGCATATTATTTAGAAAAATAAGTTATACGTGTATAAGTCAAATTGTTATTGTGGCCAACCGTTTAAGTAAATACCCTTGTTCTGTAGCCCAAAATGATTTTGTGTGAAAAAACCAGATCACAATCATCTGATTAATTGTTGTGCATTAGTTGCGAAAATTTAACTCACTAATTATGTTCTTCTCTAAATATATGCGATGCTTCTGTATTATGTTCGTTTAGTTATATTGATTACACAAGAAATTGTATGGGTTATCGTTGTTCAAACTAGGATATAATTCATTCTGAAACTGTACATGCATTATGATTCGCAAATCGCAATTTTCCGGAGCTGGAACAAGACACTTCACTCCCTTCCCGAGCCCCCTACCAGGATGTTATCATTCGAAACAACCGAAAATGGATATATTGCTCGTTGTGTTCAGCTAGTTCGTATGGGAAATATAATTTTAAAGCCTATTAAAGTCGGGTTTTTTTCCATATTTTAGACTGTTAAATACTTGTTGTCGTGTAAAATTTTCTAAGTGCTTTGAGACAATTTTTCGGGATATATCGCAAATGTTTACAGTCACCTCACCCCAAGACACTTCACACTACAGAATATAACCGCCTCCGTGGTCGAGAGGTTAGAGTCGATAACTTCCTCTCTGGCGTGGGTTCGATCCCCAGGAGATGCTTTGGTAGTTTAGCACGGAGGAAGGTAGTCGATGGTTAGGAAACTACTCGCCTATATGACTGAAATAGTGTTGGGAAAAGTGAAACAAACAAACAAACAAACACAGGACTTATTAAGTCCTGCGTAGGAGTTAAAAACTCCTAATTACGCTTTCACATCTCCTACGTAGAAGTTATAAAGTCATACGTAGAAGTTATAAAGTCATACGTATGAGATACATACTCCTAATTAGGTTTTTATCTCCTACGAAGTATTTATAAAGTCCTTCGAAGAAGTTATAAACTCTTAATTAGGCATTCTCTATTTAATGGTCACACCAGTGTTATTTGTGCCGTGTGGCGGCTGTAAAAAGGTCGCCTTTATCCTTGAAGATCGTTCAGCGCGACATAATGTTTGTGTATATATGTTATGTGATATTTTTAGTTTCTTCTATTTGGACTTTTTCAATTTTTGTGGTTTAAGTATTCCTACTTGCAATTAAATACTTTATTATCACACTTGGGGTATGTTGTCTGCTTTTTAGCTCACCGGAACCGAAGGTTTAGGGTAAGCTACTAGTATCAAAGGGGAATGTTCCGCAATCCGTCGTCCGTCTTCATGCGTCAACAATCGTTTTCTTCTCTGAAACTGCTGGAAGGATTTACTTTAAAAAATTGGTTTGTAGCATCCTTTTTACCGTCACCCTTGAATTTGCGCATGTCATTTCAATTTGCCCCTTTTAGGGGTCAACAGAGCTAAAATAGAAAAACCTTTAAACATCTTCTACAACAGAACTTATTGATGGATGATCACCAAACTTTGTTTTTAGCATTCTTTGATATCTTTTATCAAGTTTGCTCATCTTAATTTGATTGGCCCCTTTAAGGGGTCTCTAGGGCTTATTATATATAAAATCTTTACACGTCTTATTCTACAAAACTAATGATGGATGATCACCAAACTTTGTCTGTAGCATTCTTGGGTAGTTTTTTTCAAGTTTGCTCATATTAATTTGATTGGCCCATTTTAAGGGCCGCTAATGCTAAAAATAAAAATACCTTTAAACGTCTATTTCTACAGAACAAATTGATGGATGATCACCAAACTTTGTCTGTAGCAGTCTTAGGTACTCATTTGTCAAGTTTGCTCACACGACTTTGATTAGCCCTTTTTTGGGTCTCTAAAGCTAGGACATATTCTTCTACAGAACTAATTGATAGATGATCCCAAAACTTTGTATCATTTTTGGGTGGGCTTTTATCAAGTTTGCTCATATTAATTGGACTAGCCCCTTGTAAATCGGCTTAAGCTAAATATAGATATACCTTTAAACTTCTATTTTAACTGAACTGTTTGATGGATGATCACCAAACTTTGTTTGTAGCATTCGTTAAGGGCACACGCTTTTTATTACTTGGGGACCATACGTCGCTTTTCATGGAATGGCGCGTAAGTGTCACATTGAAGGTTCCATGATAACCGCCGTATGAACACATCTGCGGATGTTTCTAAATTCAAAATTTTACTATTTCATGTTTAAATGTTGAATTCTGCTTAAGCCGGTGCTAGGGGGCGTGGACGGTAACTTGCACTTTCCAGTACCGTCCATGAACAGGCTCAATCAAACCGAGCATGCGACATTTTCAATTTTGCCGTGTTGGGCTTTCTTTAGGGATTCTGTATTTATCTATCTTTCTTAGAACAAGTTAAACTGGCGCCTATATACTTCCGTAGTTACCCGCAAAATAATAACCCTGATTAAAAATTCGAGTTAATGTTTGGAGTGTTTGTAAAGGCTAAAAGAACAGGGGTTGAAAAAAAGATATATGCAACAACAATTCTTTACTCCGCGTATCCTGCGTCTTGTATATATAATAAAGAACTATCTGAAAACACATTTGAAGCGAGGTGTTTAGGCCGCCATATTGTCAGTTCGCATTACCATAATCGTGATTCCCTACAGTGATATTGAACAGTTTACCTGACATGTCGCGTGTATCCGACTTATTTTATGATAAGTATCATGAATAAAAGAGTAACTTCTTTTATGTTTATATATTAAAATGAATATGATTTACTAAAAAAAGTAAATAGACAGTCTCACTAACAATGTAAAATAATCAGACCTTTAAAATAATAGATAAAGAAACGTGGATTTTCTATAGTTAGGAACTTAACAACCTATCCTAACAATTATTTTTCTTTAACAAGTTAGTGATGAAACTCTACAATATAAACATTTGCCTGAAAATTAGACTGATTTTCTACGTTAGAGGATCATAATGTTTTACTTTAATTAAAATCATAATAAAGCATTAAGGAGACAGTTGTTAACATATGATTAAAATAGGTATATTGTTTTACCTGCATGCGACCAACATATCCAGCTGATCTAAAATAAAATAAGTATCGTAATAAAATACGGATTTTACATGCACGTATTTCAAAAGACATACCACTTACAAAACCCTTTCACACACAATAAAGGAAAATTAATAAGATCAATTATAGAAAAAAAAATAAAACATAGTTTTACACTTCCAACTTTCAATGAGAATTTGTAATTTTTAAGATTTTTACTTTACTATTATTACATCATAAAAGTCAGTGTTTTAAGAAACAAAAATGCTACAAGAAGTAAAGATAAGTAACAATATCCAAGTAGCTCTCAAAGCTTAATAATTTGCCAACGGCAAAAAACGCACTTCTGTTAAAATTATACTATTTATAATAAGGTTGTTTTTCATCTGTTAATCGCTTTTTGAAGTGAAAAGCAAATACGAATTTACTGATATAATAACCGGAAAGAATGGTGGAAATTTCATCTGCTCAAAGCTAAGAAATGTTTCTTTATATTTTGAGTTATCGTGTTTTGGTTACTTACAGCAGCTATGCAAATTTTCATAAATCCCAACATAAAGTTTTTTTTTTTGTTTTTTTATGTACGTAATGTCCTTAACTTAAACTGCGTAAATTGTAGGCTTCAATTCCAATTTGCACCATAAAGATAAGATATCCATAAGGTTATAAGCGAAGATAAAGAATCGTGACAAGATTTAATATATATGGTACATAAAGTTTAGGAAATAAGATGACACTAATTTTAATTTAACATGAAATTGGTGCTACTACATGCTATATCGCAATTCAGCTGTGGCTTATCTGAAGTGTGTGTCAAGTGTTTACAATACGAACTTTAACTTGGTTTTATCCAGTCAATATTACAACTTAACAACCTTTAAAAATGACTGTGTAAAAAACAGTTGTAAAATGACAATACAAAGTTGTTTCCCGATAACAACAGTATATATATAAGCTATAAATATTCCTTCGTAAAAATATAAATTGGTTTGTTTTTGCATATTTACAGAAAGAAAATTATCTGTGTTTAATTAATCTACTGCATTGATAATATTGTGTCTAAGAAACATTGATAGACAAGTTTGATCCAGAATGTAAAAGGATTGCCAAAATTTTGCACTGTTACGCAGCAAATAGCTCTCTTCGAAAAAAAGCCCCCCAGATAGCGCTTGCTTCGTCAATAAATGGTAGCTCCCAACAAAGGGGATCTATCTGTATGCGTCAAGACACATTTGACAGTAGAAGAATGCATTTTTGCTTGATTTTGCTAATATGCTCGTATAATAAATAGGAATTCTGGAAAGTGTACATCATTATCATCAGCAGCACATCATTTAATTATCTTTCTTCTATCAACATTATCAGTACATCATTATAGTTCATCTTATCTTTATGAACAGCATCAACATTAGTTCGTAGTCACCATCAACATCATGTTACAACGTAAATACTTCTACATCATCTTTTTAGCAGCATCAGTACATCTACATCATTGTTATCACGAGATATAAAGACGCTTCGTACAGTATACAGTTCACTTCGCACAATGAAGCGATAACTATGCTTAGGAAAGTGATAATATATATGATTTTGATGATAAGTAAATATTTTATTGATTGAAGATCTGATGATGATAATGATAATAAGGTGATAATAATTTTTTTAAAAAAGGATGACGAGGATTTGATAATGATGGAGATGATAATGATTTTGAGATGATGGTCGTGATGATGATAATGGAGGTGATGTGGTTTATGACTTTGATGATGATGATGATGTTGTTGTTGTTGCTGTTGTTGATGATGATGATGATGATGAAGGCGATCATGGTTTCAATAAATAAAGCGCTTGATGTGGTGATGACTTTCATGATGATTCATGTAATAAAAATTTCTATGATGATAATGATCGAAGTCATGATGATTTTGATTATGACAGACGTGATGATGCTTTGGATGATGATAATGTTTTGGATAATGAGGATGACTATTTGAGGAAATGTAATTTAAGATCTTGCCTCCACTAGGTAATCTGAAAAGCCGTCATATGCCCTGTACTGTGTTGATGCACGTTAATCCCAACCACCAAGGGGAGAAAATGAATATTTTGACAATGATGGTGGTGAGTACAATGATAATGGACGTGGTGATTACTTTAATGATGATGATTTTGATCATGACGAATTTCAAAGTGATTATTTTTATGACTTTGATGGTGATTAAGTTCTATTGTAGGTGACGAAAATGTAAAAACGAATATTGGGCATGAAAAAGAGATGCATGCACAACATTGATATGCATTGTGTTGTTTATTAATTATGTTTAAGTTTGTTAAATTACGCTAGTTCTTAGGAAAGGGTCAAATTCAATTTATCAATTTTGTGGCTAAAACGTTTTGACTACGTGCAGATAGGTTTTAATAATATATATATAACTGGCTTCATGATGGGAAGCTTTTTTTCGTCAAAACGAGGCTTCAATTATTACATGTAAGTCGATGCATGTTGTAGCCGAGATCAAAGACAGTTGAAGAAAATAACCAGAGCAAGCCAGGGAATAAAAAACTTGTCATACTCGAGCACTTCTGTCTGACAGTGTTGTGGAAATATGTTGACGGTGGCTTCCAAACCGCCTGAAATGGTAAAATGAGTAATTTAAAAGCAAATGAAAGACTAAATTTTCTTTAAAGGAAACAAAATCTTTATATTGTTATACAAAGACAATGTTAGTAATGTCTTTAATCCAATTTCTGTTTACTATACCTGCTCTGTTTGGTACTATGGCATTTCTTATTTTTATTATTATTCTTCCTGGACCACAATGGAAACAAATGAATTCAAACTCACATGCCCTGGTACAACTTCCATTATATCAATAACTTGGAGGTATGTGTCTTTTATATAAAGTCTTAAAAATAATTATTATTCTATTTTTGTCTGTCTGCCTATCACTAGTCTTAAGGGTTTTTTAGCTCGACTATTCGATATGAATAAGTAGAGCTATCCTAGTCACCCGAGCGTCGGCGTAACCACTTATGTAAAAGTGTTTTTAACACCACAAATATTTTCAAAATCTATTGTCATATAGCTTTGAAACATTGCATACTTGTTCATCATCATGACCTCCTTTTTATTTGTCAAAGTAAAATATTCTTTAAGTCGAATATTTCCAAAGTTTAAGGTGCACCTCAAATATAATAACTGTAATGCCGGTACATGTATATAAATATCAAATTTTCTTTAAAATTTTATCAAGCGATGGGTCAATAAAGCATTATGTACTACATGAAATATTTAACACATAAAAGGATTAGAATTACCATTAATCAGAAATTATTGAGATTCTCACTTCCAATCTTCATAAATGTTTGTTATCATGGTAACGCAATTGGCGTCTCAATGAAAAGTTTAAAATCAATTCTACAGAAAAAAAACATAATTCATTTCTTACTATGATCATAAATTATAAGATTTCCAGAAATCTTTTATTACAAAAGTATATGTTTAACCTAAGTATATTAATAAAACAAAATTAAGACACATGTATATTTGAAATAGACATATATAGTTTAGAGATAATTAAATATTGATTTCATAGATTATTAAAATCAAAACAGAGAATACAGTATAGTGTAACCGAATCTTACAATTAATATTCGTTGAAAAAAGAAATGAAGGATTTGGAAATTCAGAATTTTACCTTACAGGTGACGGTCATTAAAATATCAAGTTGTTCATCAAACTGAATAATATTTTTAGCACAATTCATTAACTGGTTTTTCAATGTCAATGTCCTATAAAGGTCAAGTTCATTTTCTCCTTAAAGGTATTGTCAAAAGGGCTGTTATGTGTATGTATGAATATATTATATTGATTAAATTATAAATAAATTAAAGTCAAATTCAGCAACATTTCAACATTTTACCTAGCAGGTCATGATTATTAGTGGGCAAGATCATATTGCTTACCATAGGCACAGTAGACATTATGTGAAATATTCCTGTTAAGTTTCAACAAGTTGGTTGGGCGGTTTAAGAAAAGAAGCGCACAGAGGCAGATATTCTTTTTGGGACTTTTTCGTTTATTTTTTGATTTCTAAAAACCCAAAAGCATTATGTTTGCACCCAAAAAGCAACTTTTCCCCACAAGAACAGTCTATACGAAGCCGGGGTATCTATCACATATTATCACTTCGGTCCATACGAACAGACAGTAAGACGACCAGACTGAAGAACAGCCTCAAACATTATATCCTCCGAGGGTATTAAAAGTAACGCTTATTTACTTCATATTGAATAAGTTTTTAAGTACCCATTAATGTATTCGCTAAAGTCGTTGAATCTTAAACTATATATATTCTATAAATAAGTATATTTTCTAAACATGATATTTAATCACCCAAGCAATCCAAATAAAAAATCAATAGTTCGTCACTTTCCTACATTGTTAGAAAAATGCTTGTGGTATGGCCGGAACAATAAACATCAAGATATATACAAATAATTGAAAATGGCAACATAGCCGATGTAAGTGGCGATTTATCACCCTAAAATGGTAAAACAATATCATTATGCCTTTACGCTTCTCAGAAACAAACAAATGTATGAATCTACAATGGCAGTCTTAAGGCATCAGTCGTTTCATGGGGATAATCCTTGGTGTAATTTATGATATCTATATGTAATGTATTATGCATTATGTATTATATGACTATAACAATGAGTTTATTTAGTAATA